ACCACGGAGAACTCGGCAGATCCGAAGTCCTATCTCATTCCCGAGATAAGCGTAGTTTAGCAGCAGCTTCATCTCATAACAGTCCCAAATAATTCCCCGGCTCCCGCCCCTACAGACGAACCCAGCCGACGCCCATGACTCCTGCTACCACTACAACACCAGCCCGCCAGCCGAGCCAAGCCTTCGGGATACCACGGCCTGCGCCGCTCTCCTCCGAGATCTTCTTCCTGATACACGTCTTGCCGTAGTCGCAGACCTCGCCCTCCTTGCAGCATATCCCGCCGCCGCAGCACCGTTCCCTGGCCCCGCACCCGCTCTTGCCGCAGCACTCCCCCGCGACGCACACCGAGCCGCAGAGCCGCTTGCCGTCGGGGCAGCACCGGCCGAAGAGCAGGTCGACGCAGTGGGAGCCCGCGATGCAGCAGCCTGCGCCGCAGCATTGTGAGGTCGAGGGGCAGCAGTTCCAGTTGTGTGGGAGGTGGCACATCACTGCAGTCTGTTAGAAGCGCTCGTGGTGTATTGTGAATGTGCTTACCTGTGTCGTTTGGGCAAGAAGCCTCGCTATCGTCGCGCCGGGTAATAGCTGAGATGGCATTTTGGAAAGGCGTTGTCGCTGAGGTGGTCGTCGAGTTTGGCGACGTAAGTGCAGCCAAAGTGTGATCTGCACAGAGTAGCCACAACCACATGCTCCACGTCATTGATGATACCAAGTTGCGAAAGAGACTCATGTTGGTGTCGTGTGTGTGATGTTCACCTCCATAATCAGTTTCACTGAGATCAAATAGCAAGGGAATGGCCCACGATGATTCACTCAATCCCATGACTTGCGCTAAAAAAGAACAAAAGCAATCATTCACCACCACTAATCGTGGAGTTTGCTTGGTATTTTCCCGCCGTCTATGCAACTCCGAATGCTCCCACGTCACCTCATCACTGTCCCTAATCCTCCTTTTGTCCGTGATCCACACTCAATTCTTGTTGGCATCCTCCTTCAGCGACACAATACGGTTGAGGATGATCTTGTCATCAGTGCTGTCAGAGTCGACGGCCTAGAGTTGGTTAGCTTGGAAAATTATTTCTACTGCAAGGATGATACTCACAAAGTAGGCAATACGGGTGGCCTGGAAACGGACACTCTCGGGTCCACCCTTGCCGAGTTCACTCTCGCCAGCAGCCTCGGGCCAGGGCGCGCGGCGTTTGACCTCGTCAAAGCCGCTCTCAATGATGGCGTCGGGGTAGATGACCTCGCTATCGGGGTTGATATCGTTGAGGAAACCGCCCTCGGCGTCGTCAGGCTTCTCGCTCTTGAACAGGGAGTTGTGGATACGGGCCTCGACCTTCTTGGAACCCTCGGTGCCGACCCAGTTGATGAAAGCCTTGGGCTTCTTGGTTTCCGTGTCGAACACAGCGCGAATCTCGGTGACCTTGCCGGTAGTCTCGTCCTTGGTGTAGGACGTAGCCTTGATGGGGCAGGGGGCGTTGAGAAGACCGACGGTCTTGTTGGGCGCAAGACGGAAGTAGTCCTTGCTGTCGACCTCTCGGAAATCGGCGCGGTCAATATAGACGGTAGGCGTGAACTTGACGGTGTGGGAACCCATCTTGGGGTCCTTAGGGGAGAAAGGCAGTTCGACTTCTTGAGTCTCAGCGCCCTCGATGATAACCGGGATGGGGTCGAGGACCATCATCAATCTGGGAACAGTGCGTTCGAGGTATTTGCGGACAGTCTGCTCGAAGCGCTTAATCTGGATGACGGAGACAGAGGTGGTGACGCCCAGCTCGTTGACGAAGTCGAGAATGGCGCCAGGGGGAACACCTCTCCTCTTGATACCAATCAATGTGTACAGGCGAGGGTCATCCCAGCCACGAACGATCTTCTCCTCCACCAGCTTCAGAATCTTTCTCTTGGAGAGGACGGTGCCGGTGATACCCAGACGGCCGTACTCGCGCTGCATGGGCTCGTAGACGCCAAGAGTCTTGTTCAGCCACTCGTAAGACACGCGGCTCTGGACGAATTCTGTTGTGCACAGGGAGTGGGTGATACCCTCGAAGCTATCGCACAAGCAGTGGGTGAAGTCATATGTGGGGTAGATCTTCCAGTCCCAGCCAGTTCGGTGGTGAGGGGTGTCGGTCTTGATGCGGTACGCCGCAAGATCCCACATCTGGGGGTTGCCGTCGGTGATATCCTGCTTCATGCGAAGGAAGGCTTCCCTGGGCTTGTACTTTCCATCCTTCATGTCTCTGAACTTCTGGAGGTTCTCCTCAACGGAGTGGTTCGCATGTTCGCATCGGAATCTGGGGGTGGCTCCCTTCTCTCCACCGCGCTGGAGCTTGATCTCGGCGTCTGGAACCTTGACTTAGCCTCGCATGAATAGCAGGTTGATGCGTCCGCACTTACCACCACAGTAGCACACGTAGGCCTTCTCCAGGGTAATCAGCTTCTCGGCGAGGTCGTACAGCTTCTGGAAGTTGTCACTCGAGTAGGTAATCTTGTAGGGGGCGAATCCCAGCCACCTGACCATCTCCTCGATCGCAGTGAAGTATCTCTCCTCCTCCTTCTCGGGGTTCGTGTCGTCGTATCGCAGGTAGCAGACACCGCCGTGGAACTTGGCGAAGCCGAAGTTGACGGCAATGGCCTTGGCGTGACCGATATGGAGACAAGGAGGTTGTTAATGGTGCGACAACACTCTAGACAGATTACAACACTCACTATCCATTGGGCTCGGGAGGGAATCGGGTGACAACGTTCTTGGATGGCCTCTCCTTGTAGACCTCCTCGAGGAAGCCCTGCTTGAACATGGCCTGGGCGTCGAGGACAACCTCCTCAGCCTTAGGCTTAGGAGCGGCCTTGGGCTTGCTCTCAGCAGCACCACCCGCGGCCTCCTTCGCAGCCTTTGCCTTCTCGGTAGCAGCCTTCTTCGCGCGCTTGGCCAATCTCTTCTTCAGCTCGCCCTTGCTGACCATCTCGCCTGTCTCCTCATCAAGCTGGAGCTTGGCCGTGGACTCGGCCAGCTTGGCGGTGGGATCCGCGGGGGTGTCCGCCATGGTGTCGGTATTCAATCGGGGAGCGCGACAATCGGAAGGGGATTCGTGTCCTGTGCGTATCGCTTGTGCTGGCTCAGAATGCTCAATTGGGTTCGATGGCAGCTCAAGAGGTGGAAAATGTGTGGTCGTGGTGGCGGGGCAGCACTTCTTTTACAGCGGGGATGACTCAACTGGATCCGGACAGTGAGGGGCGAGGGGTCATCCGCTGCGACCTCCTTGCGACACGCGACAAGGACACGATAAGATAAGCGTACGATGCTGATAAGATAACCTAGCGACGCTAAGATAAGGACAGCCACCCGCAAAGGTGCTCGACATTTACAGCGTAAGGCACCTAAGGCTTAACGGCGATGCCGCCCTCGAAGCTTCCAATATTGAGCCTGATGACCCAAACAGAAAAGAAAATCACTCAAAGATGAGGTGATTTTGCGAGCATTTTAAGGGCGTGAAAATCTAACGGAAAAGTGCTGATGAATTGTTCCTTCCTCCTTCCAGATGACCTAGCTACCTGCCCCCTGCTTCGTCCGAACAGCGCTCCTTCCAGAACAAACCGATAAGCCCGATAAGCCAAGCTTAAGCTCAGCGCGGGGCTTTTTCCAGTCTTCTTTCGTCATGGGCTCCCACCTTTCCTGCTTCCGGTCGCCTGCTTCTTTGTCACCAACAACCCAACAGCCTCCTTCCCCCGCGCCGAAACCCTCCAAATCGGCCACGAAACCGACCCTACCCAAGCCCGCGAATTCGCCTATGCCAATCCGACACGCCGTCAAAATGGCCACTACCGCCGTCGCCGATATCCCGACCGTTGAGCTCCTCTACAAGCTTGGCAAGCTCTCCGCCCCCGCGAAGCCCCTCCACGCCCCCAACCTGTCGCACAACCAAAAGGTCGCCGTCATTCGCGGCGACATCACGAAGCTCGGTGTCGACGCTATCGTCAACGCCGCCAATAAGAGTCTGCTCGGAGGCGGTGGTGTCGACGGCGCCATTCACCGCGCCGCCGGTCGCGGTCTGCTGCAGGAGTGCCGCACCCTCAACGGTTGTCAGACTGGTTCCTCCAAGATTACTGGCGCCTACGACCTGCCTTGCAAGAAGGTCATCCACACCGTCGGCCCTGTCTACGATGAGCTCGCACCTGAGACATCCGAGGAGCAGCTGAAGGGCTGCTACCAGTCCAGCCTGGAGCTCGCTGTCCAGAACGGCTGCCGCAGCATCGCTTTCAGCGCTATCAGCACTGGCGTCTATGGATACCCTAGCCGCGAGGCTGCGCCCGTCGCTGCCGGTGTCGTGAGGAAGTTTCTTGACGGAGAGAATGGCAAGAAGCTGGACAAGATCGTGTTCTGCACCTTCGAGATGAAGGATGTCAATGCTTACAACGAGACCCTACCGTATGTACACCCCGATCAACGGTTTCGATATATTTGCTAACAGTCTGCCCAGTCTCTTCTTCCCTCCCACCGACAAAACGACAACCCATGACCAGGTCTCCGATGGTCCTTCCAAGCAGGAGACAGAGGAGGCAAAGGCGATCGCCGCCGAGCTTCCTAGCGTCCCGAAGGCCGACCCCTCTTCATAATAACAATATTAACATTTCTTAGGGAGATGAGCGATTGCTGGCCATCAGGGTATCACCAGGATGATGTCCGTGGGTCTCGGAGTTTGTGGAGTCACGGTGGGAAAAAGCAAGCCGGATAGCATACCTTTCTTAATACAAATATGACATCTTCAACCAACGGCTTTATCGCTATTAGGGCAAACTTTTATCGGGACGAGCTCTCATCGCTTCGTTGTTGCTTGTCCAAGTCATCTACCTCTGCCAGTGAAGCCCTTCTTCCCGTCTGCGTTGCAGCTTCCGTCTCGATCGCCTATCAACTCCTTGAGACGACCCCTAGATCCATAGGAAAACATCTACTAGAACTTATTGGCTGGTCTCCAAAAGATGTGCTGAATCTTTAACTTACGCATCATGCCTTGTTCGCCGGCTTCATCGTCAGCCAGCCCCAAAACTGACCTAGACCCGTGAATGCTTTTTGCGGCAAACGTTCCGAAGGAAAAAGATTCATCAGCTCATCTACTTCGGCCTCTTCGAATCTCCGACAAGCCCGCAATCTGTATATCACATCAAAATCCCTTTCCTCCGAAAAGTCGTCTGGTCGTACTTCAACACGGTACTTGTTCGCGAGCTCCGATTTCAAGTATCTAGGAGCTCCGCGCTCAACGAACATCTTGCAAGCGTGGATCGCGTTTTTCGGAGGTGACCGCTCGGGCTCAAGATTCAAGGTGCGCCTCCGGGCGGCAAACGGCGCAGAATACTCCCATTTCGAGATACTGTGTACAAACTTCGTCCAAACATGCTCAAACTCGTCTCTTGAGTTGACAAGGGTTTCCTCGTACAAATCGAGGATGTTGGCCAGCAATTCTATGTCAATACGATCGAGTTGTGTGACCTTGGCATATTCGGCGACATCGACATACACAGAGCGCGCTAGGATCCCTGTCCAAATGTTTCTGAAATGCGACCTCGTTAAAGTACCCTCTTGGGAGGCATTTAGTTTCAACATGAAGCGCGCTACGGTTTGCCCCACCAGCTGAGATGTATACGGACCATAGAACAGAGGCGGCATGCGGTGCAAGTCAAACATATCATTCCAAAGGTGAGGTTGAAATGGCAGGTTGTCGTTTTCGAGCTCTTGAAAGAAGTGGCAAATCCTCAGAAAGGAATCGCCCTTCTCGGCTGAATCCTTGTATGCGTCCATGTCCCTTAAACATGCCATTGGAAATAAGCAGTCTTGACGAATGGGTATGTTAAGGCGGTATTGTCTCAGAGACGAAGATTGAAGAAGAAACTCAAAGACAGTCCTGTGGAGAAAGCCTATCCGTTCTTCATTCTGTCGTCCAGTACTCCACGCTTGGACTAGATCTCGGCATTTGGAGAGCAGCACTTGTGTCTGGGGTTGCAGCCATCTGGGCCCCACGTCCGCCAAAGATAGATGTGCCTCCTCGAATCCTGTTTTTGTTCCCTTGGTGGCAAAGATCCTAGGCTGCGAGAACTTGCTTTCTATCCACTTTGACTTCTCCAGCTCTTTCATTTGACTCATATGCCGAAAGAGACGCACTGGCAAGGACGTTTTTGCCGAAAGCAAGATAGTAAATGCCCAAAACGCGTCATCGACGTATACGTCCTCAATCGAATCCAGCATGCGTTGGGAAAACGGCTGAAGATCCGAAGGGAACTCAGCCAGACGCTTGTGGAGGATGTCGAAGTCGTCGTGATTTTGTAGCCCTCGAAGTAGTGACTTGATCACCAGAGAAACCCAGAAGAAAACGCCCTCTGCCTTGTCACAGATCGCCTGGACTAAATCTTGCGACTCATCTTTTTGTGCGTGTCGTAGGGCTCTGAAAGTTGCATCATTTGACAAGTTATCTTCTACATAACGGACAATGTCGTTTTGGGTCAAATTGTGTATCTCCAAAGTCCAGCGGCTCCTACCGAAGGCTTCGAGAAAATCAGGCCAAGGCCTACTTGCGCAACACACTTTGATGTCCGGGGACTTCGCGATAGCGCCTAAGAATTTCGTGAGCTCCCTCGGCTCGCCGTTGTACTCATCAAGGCCGTCAACTAGAAGCAAGATTCGATTTGGTAAGCTCCGGACGTGTTGGATTCTCTCGAAAATTTGAGAGAGCTCTTCGAGACTCCAGGACTCGAGGGATCTGAAGGGATCTGAGTACCTCTCTCTGCAAACTTCCGGGATGAGCTCTGGGCATTGAACCATGATCTGGAACAAGAGGGTCCGGAGAAGACCCTCCTGTGACTTTTGAATCTTGTTACCAACACTCCAAAAAAAGTGACTGGTGAGGATAAGGGGCTTTGAACCGGCCCACGCCTTGGCTAGATCTTTGGTTGTCTGATGACCTAGAATAAATTTCATCAGGGTGGATTTTCCAGATCCGGGTTTCCCCGTTACCCAGAAAACGCCTTCGCTGGGACATTGGAACCATGACTTAAAGCCAGCAGACGATGATTCGTCGAATATCCACTGAAACGTGTTGCGATGAGCCTGAGGAATCTCGTTTTGCCTCTCTTTAATCTGCGCAAAGTGAAGACTTTTAAGGATTGTCCTTATATTGCCGCGATGCTTTGCCTCGTCCGCAAACTTGGAGAGCTGGTTTGCAAACACCCCAAAATCCTCTGACGACGTGCCCTGCGAATTGCTGTCGAGGAGCCTTTCAAGGTCTCGGGCAATAGAGTCTAGCCTTTTCTCGGTAGCGTTATTCGAAGCGGTTGATGCCTCGCCTAGTGAGCGCATGGCCTCTGAAAGCGATTTGCGGTGATCACTGTCGACCTGTCAGCCACCTTCGCTCAAGTATTAGTGTAGTTGGAGGACGCACTGAAGCAAAGGCTCCAATCTCCGAAACATCTCCTTCCTGATGTCCGTGATTCTAGCCGCAAGATCTTCAATCTTGCTCTTTTTCCAATATGCCTTCACAGACACTATGAACTTTGCCAAGCTCCGATGACGGTCGGCAGCGCTCATCTTGAGCCCTTCCAGCTCGGAAAGTAGCTCATTTGCGACTTTGATGCATCGCTTCAGGAGGCCCATGGTGATCGGGTCGGCTTTCGCCGCAGCGTCATCCTGGAGGAGAGTGCACCGATCTTTGAGGCTAAAAGTCATGGCGACCAGGTCAACATTGCGCTCCGCCAAGCCATTGATATCGGTACTTCGGTATGTCTCGATCACGGCCTTTGTGATGTTGAAGCCGAGCTCGACGAACTGGACGATGTTGGACGCGACGCCGAGGGCCGCAAGCGATTCAGCCATGGCGATGTGTTCACATCTGAGGTTGGGAGATTGCTGACTTGTCCCAGCCTGATCTGATCTGGTCGAGGGAAGCTGAAGGTGGCGGAGCTTCATGCAGGCTGGGCGATATGGCGGTAAGCGACGCATCACGATTGGTTGTTGGGAGGTGCTTTCTCTGCCCAGGGTTTTCATTCGTTCAACTTCAGCCATGGTAGTTACCAACACCCATCAACATCGCCCAAAGGAATTGCAATATAGCCATCATATTCCACCAGGTTTGGGAACAGATAGATGCAAGCTCAACATACACCAGGCAACATGCGAAGCTATACAAAGATCTTGTCTTTTCTTCTGCATTTGTGTTTGTGAAGTCCTATTGGCTTGTTTTCAAACTTGAGCGCCCGCATATTCCTAGCTCTGCTATCCTAGCCTACTTCGATAATGTAAGTGAAATTGAGATAGAATAAGAGTCTAACAGAGTCAGATTCAATTGAATAGCAACATCAGAGGCATCACATATGAGAGTCATTGATGGCCATTGAAATGTAGACATTGCGATGGTATACAGCCTGAGGATCTATCATCGGAAATTGTAGATTAAAAGTCATCTAGTAGTCCATGTGCATCGATTAGACTGATTCTAAGTTAATGAAAAAGATGCTAGCAAGGATTCAAGGTGGCTTGGCCACCAATCCCTTAGAATGTCGCATCGTAGGATAAGCACTAAAAGCCATGTTAAACAGCGCCTCAATCCTGCAGATCTAAAGTGTCAGCCACGAGGCGTGATTGGCTTTCACCCACCCTGTCTGCCTAAGGGTTTCAAAGACAAGCTCTGGATAGAGATCAAAAGGAATGCAGCGTTGCTTCCAGCATGTCGCTACGAAACGGGCTGTCGTCATAATTTGAGACAGGCAAAAACATCGATAAGACGGCAATCTAATCGGGCGCTTCCATCGCCCACAAGGGATGAGCCGTCTAGGTCCCATAAATCTCCGTGCCACCCGGGCCATTCTGCGACGTTCTCTTCGCTGTTTGGTTCACGACCTTAGCCAGACATCGGCTTCCTTACTGTGACAATGGCTACCCACGAAGAAGAAACACGAGGCAGGCTGCAAAACATCCAAGACGACTCAGTCCCCAATGTTACCCGTCCATCTCCCAGGCGGCGGACACCATCCCCGGAACCTCCAAGTTCGATGTCGCTTTTGGATACATCGAGAACACAGACCCCAAATGTCGAGTCGAAAGAGTCAGACTCAATCAATCATCCGCATCAACCAGTAATTCAGTCGCGATCACTAGTGCCTGCCTACCTGGTAGCAGGGTATGCAACTCTGTCGATTTTTGCTTGGGTCACGACATGCGTGATGACTTACCGACCGCTATGGCCCTTGAAGTTTACAAAACAGTACGTGATGGACTATCAGAGCGAGAACTACGGGGGAAACATCAACTTGATCCGCCAGACTGTCGAGAAAAACCGGGACTGGTACCAGCGCATTAGGGTCTTGCAGTCAGTCATTGCAGTTTTGACCCTTCCTCTTACGACATCGGTCATGTCAGCCGCAGCCGTCATCTACGTCCAACGAAGTTCGCAAGATCTGAGCTTGCGCCAATTAATTGCACTGGCGGACAAGAGCTGGACGGATGCAATAGCTGTAGCAACGGCTCCAGGGGGACGGCACAAGTCGCTTTTTCTCTTGGTGGCTATTGCAGTGTACATCCTTGGAGGTGTGCTCTCCCCGTTACAGGAATCCTTCTTGTCGGTCCTGTCGAAGAAGGTCACTTACTCCCCCGGGGGCACGAGCTACCTGACCGATATTCCCGAGCAATTTAAGTACACAGGTCGAACATATCGCGAAGACAATTCAGTTGTTCTCATCACACGTGGCTTGCTGGAAACAACTAGCTCTTCTCAGCCACAAGCGCAGTTGTGGCAAGGCAGCGGCTACGCGTGTTCTGACTCTAAAGAGGTCGATGGTAAACGCATATCAGAGGCATGCCGCTTCGGAACGACCCTTGAAGACATTCCAAAGCTAAAAGCCCCTTTTCTGGCACAACTACCAGCTGGTTATTCGACCGGACTTATCCGCCAGTTCATCCCTCGCATCAACTCCACAACAGACGTGGTTTTGATGACTGCAGAAGACTTCCCGAGGTCTTGTGACACAATGCCTGGATCTTTCTGGGCAAGTTACTTCACTGAAGGTGGCGGTATGAGCTATCCTGGATATCCACCGGTTTCGATCCAAATATGCATGCCAGGCAATCTCACCACCACTCCGTGGAAGCGGACAAGGGATCGGCAGACCTTTAAGGAGAACCTATATCTTAACATTAGCTTTGGGCAAAAGGAACCGAAGATTTCATACTGGAAGATCAGTATGAGTACCACAGCGGGATACTTTCAGCTACCAAACGATTGGAATCAAACGGCTGGCGAATTGCTTGACAAAGACCCATTCGGTCCTGAAGGTGCATGCCACAGAGGCTGTGGAAAGCAAGTACAAGTACATAACGACTTCATGTTGAAAGATAAAGATGGTGGAGATGATAGGTTGTAAGTCTGAGTCTTGTCATATGGTTGATTGTTTTACTTATGCTTCAAAACCAGCCCATTATACCATGACGAACGCATCCTCCTTGGGCTAGATCCGTGGGAACCCAATGTGCTAGAAATGGTCCCCAACAAAGGACCCCTGCTTACGGTTGTACTCGCGCTCTTCGGCCGAAAGTCCTTCTTAGACACTAGGTTGTCCAACTCTTCAACCTTTGGAAACCTAAACGTCACATCAAATACCACGGCTTCTTCCACTTGCATATATCTCAACCCCCTCAAACTTTTACTTGAGGATGAGGGATACAAATCACCAGAGATATTATGCACCACAAGCGCAGACATCAGCGACGAGCCCAGATTGAAATACAACATGTCAGGATGGTTCTTGAGCTTTTTCTATTTCCAGGATGACGCCGAAAATGTTGAATGGACGATCAAAAATATCTTCACTCGTGCCGCATTCATAGCGAATCAGGCCTGGCTTCAACACCAAACGAATGGAAACTCCGTGGAGGTCAAGCGTGACCAAGGCTTGGACACCGTAATTCCTTCTATGTCACTGGCTGGGATGATCACGATCAGCATTTTGTTGGCAGCGCACCTGGTTGCGTTGTCTTTTTTCGCAGCGTATGCGGCACGAAAATCTGATATAGTAGACACGAAATTGGATGCGTGGGCTATGATGAAGATTGGAGCTAGCCATGCTAGTCACGTAGTCCTGAGCAAACACCAGAGAGCAGAGGATGTTACGTATTTGGATCGTTTGTCGGGTAAGCTTGGCCGCTCGAGGGTAGATGATGATCGGAGTGAGACAACTAGGCTGCAAAACTAATGAAGGTTACTATGGATTATATGCTGCAGCAACGGGGCGGACACTTCTGGCGGGCTACCTTAGATGAACGTGCTTCTGTACTAGTCCTATAATCCTTGTTAAATCGAGGCCGCCTATTTTTCCTATGGTAGAGCGACTACTTTGCCTGTGGCTATGCTCTACCTCACCGTCGTCATCGTCGCTTCTATCGTTGCTGTCGTTATCGTTAGTATCATTGTCGTCGTCGTCATTGTCGTCTTCGTTATCATCTTCGTCGCTACCATCGTCGTCACCACTATCGTTTTCGATTAAGTAGGGGCACTTAAGGACACAGGAAAATCAAGTGGTTTCATCGTATCAATATTGACCATTGGGCCATTCCATGTACCTGTCGTATCAAGTGTATTGTGAAACGCAATGAGCCTCAATAAAAATCTGGATATTGAGGACTGCCAATGAATAGCCAACGCAGTGAAAAGAATGAGGACCTCCTATGAGGGAGGCCTAAATCTGTTAGTGCTAACATGAATCATGATCCGGGCAATCTCACGCAGCAAAACCCCTCATCAACAATCTCCGTTCACCACCTGCCAATTGACATTGGGGAAGTCCTATCCGTGAGATTCGCGTCTGCAGGTTCGGTTGACGGGCCGAGGCATTTCAACCCACAAGCCGCATGCTGGCACACGCGGGCATCGAGAAGGAGATCTTTTGTTCGCGCCGGGGTTCAGGGGCCAATCACTCCCCACTTCTCTTATCGCGCGGTGATCACGTCAAAAGCCAACAATATTACCAGAAATAACGGCAAAAAGAAATCTCATATCACGGATCCAGAACGGCATTAGAAGTCCGTCGGCCGCCTCCAACATGCAGTACCGGCAGCTCAACAGCCGACATATCCGTGATAATCCTGGCCTTAGCTCCAACAAAGGTACACTCTGGAGATGAGAGTCGCTCGTATGCAGGCCAAGCGCCAGGGGCGGCCCCAGTCTGGGGGTGACCTTGCACATCGACCTGCCAAGTGAAGCTAGCGGCTCATGTGGTGTCGACAAAACAAGCTCATACGATTGGGATGAACGCCCACTTAACGCACGATGGCAGGCGATGGTGACATCGGGAGCACTGGAGACGACCACGGCTCAGTCCTGAAGGAAAGTGGATGACGACGACAAGATGGAGAATAGCTGAGAGACATAAGAACGCGGCACTGTCGCGTCGTCGAGTGAGCCAGAGGTCAGCTTCCTCCGGTAGCCCTGATCGATAGCCAAGTTGTTCTGAGCCGACATCAAGATGCGAAGCTCCATTGTTGCCGCGCCAGCTCTGCTCGGCAGTGTTGCTGCTCTCTCCAACTCGACGACCACCGCTTCGGTGCCCTCGTCGACTGAGCCCTGCGCTGTTGTCAGCGCTGCTTGGGCTTCTCAACATGCTGCTGCACCCACAGTCACGCCGACTGTGCCCGCTCAGCTGGCCTACGACTGTCTGAACTCAGTTCCCCTTGGGAAGCAGGAGGCCATTGACTTGGTCGACTCGATCGTGCCTTACCTTGAGTGGCAAAGCGGTGAGCTCCGATCCCGGCATGTATGATCGGTTCAGGAGAGAGCTAACTGTTGTGGAGACGCTACATACAAGGCCGATCCCCCTGCCGACTATGACTTTCCGGCCTACGACATGTTCGCTGCCTTGGAGAAGGTCCGAAGCAACCTCGAAGCCGAGGTCTACACCAGCGAGTACGCTTTCCAATCTGCTCTGTACAATGAAGTCTTTGGACCCGGGCATGATGGTCACTTCGTGTACTATCCGGACCTCTTGACTGCTGTGTTCGAGTGGACCCGCGAGCGTGCGCTCGTCTCCATTAGCGAGGATGGCTCATCCCTGCCAGTAATTAAGATCTATGGTAAGATAAGCTCGAGTCTCCTGTCTTTTTCGTCAGTGCATTTCTGATTCAAATTTAGAGGAGGTTGTTTCGTCTCCAGAGACTGCTTCCGAGGTTAAGCTTATCAACGGAATTGATGCCGCTACATACCTCGATGAGACCATTAACAAGGCAAACTGGAACCGTGACGCTGATTCCGCGTACAACTCCGTCTTCTTCGAGCAGTCTCTGTATGCCACAACCGGTGGAAAGGGATACTTCAGCTCAGGCGGTCGCATTCGGTAAGTTTAAGCTTCACGCGTGTACTTTCTCAGCTAACACGAGCAGTTATGTCTACCAGGGCGCCAACACCACGATCACATTTGTCAACGGCACGGAAGTCACCTTCGAGAACCACGCCACAGTCAAGAAGGCTTTGACTGGAGTCGTTGACGGACCATCTTTCTATGCAAAGTTCTGCAACCCGCTGAGCCCTGCTGTCGACACTCCATCAAGCACAACTCCATCGACTGGCTCTGGCTCCAGTGACCTCCTTCCGGGATACCCTTCCCCAATTGTCACCACTCCCGACGGAATCGTGTCTGGATACTACCTCGAGGGCGAGGGTCTCGATGACGTTGCTGTCATTGTCCTCACTGCTTTTGAGAGTGAGAGCCCCGCGGAGTTCCAGGCCGCCGCCCGCGACTTCTACACCGCCGCTCTCGCCGCCGGTAAGACCAAGCTCGTGATCGACTTCCAGCAGAACGGCGGTGGCTACATTCTACAGGGCTACGATTTCTTCCGTCAGCTCTTCCCCCACACTGTCCAGGAGGGTAACTCCCGCTGGAAGGAGAATGATGGCTTCAACGCTGCGGCTGAAATCGTTTCTCGCATCTCCAACGAGCCCAATGCCACCAATAACGCCAACATTGACCTGGTCACCAGCTACTCGGAGTCCTGGTTCAACTGGCGCTACGACTACAACATCTCTAACAAGGGCTTCAGCTCGTTCGAGGACAAGTTCGAGCCCCACGTCTTCCAGAACACGTCTTACACCAACCTCATGCGCTGGAACCTGAACGACCCTTTGACGACGGTCAACGCCACCTTCGGTCTGGGTATCGAGATCACCGGCTACGGCAACCTGACCAACGTGGCGCAGCCTTTTGAGGCTGACAACATCATCATCCTGTACGACGGTGTCTGCGCCTCAACTTGCACTATCGCCTCCGAGTTCCTTCGCATCCACGGTGGTGTCAAGTCAATCGCCATGGGTGGTCGCCCCAAGGAAGGCGGAATTGAGGGCGTCGGTGGTATCAAGGGCTCCCAGGTCCTCGACTGGAGCTCTATCTACGGCTTCTCCACCGACCTCCTCCCCTACGCCACCACCGACAAGCAGAAGGCTGCTTTTGCCACCTACAGCGATCTCCCTCTGAACCGCAGTTTGGCTGCTGCTGTCAACGTCCGTGACCAGATCCTGCGAGACAACGTCGAGGATGGCATCCCTGCGCAATTCGTGAAGGAGATCACTGACTGCCGTCTGTACTGGACTCTGCCGATGGTCAACGATGTCACCGAGGTCTGGAAGGCGGCGGCTAACGCTGCCTTTAACGGCGCCAAGTGTGCCTATGGCGGCATTGAGAAGAGGGATGTTAGCAAGGAGGCAGCGGTCAGACGCAGAAACTACCTTGCGGCTGCTGCTCTGCACTCTCGTGGTACCGTATCTCGCCGCGCCTTGCCCCCTACGAATGAGCGCTCGTGGCAGGACAAGTACGTCCAAAAGGCTATTGAGTAGAGCCATTGTACTTCATCAAATAAATAGTTTTATCATACTCTAATGCCAAGTAAGGTTCCTTGTGATCCATTAACACTTCCAAGTTCAAATTCCACATCAACCTTGGCAATCGATTGAGACGCACCTTGAGCGCCTGCACCCTTGATAGACTGATCCGACTCAATAGTGAAACCTTTGAGAACTATTTAAATAGCAGATGCCACCCCATTTCATAGGTACGGGCTTTCTACAACTTGTGCCGACCTTAACATCGCTACCCGATCATGACGTTAAAACAACACACTTGTTACAGGCACTCAACATTGGCGTCAAATTGGTTCCGGCCCTGTCTTCATATTTGCAGTCTGCAAGACACTCCACAAACGCAGAAAATGACAGGCGACTTTGCGTACTTCCCTCGGCTTCCAGCTGAACTACGCTTAGAAATATGGAGACTTGCCATTCGACCTGCCCGTATCAAGAGCGTCCAATTCTTCGGCATCCAAGACACCCATTTCAATCAGACGGAAGATTCAGAGCCAGCATACCCCATTATGGAAGACGAAA